CGCAATTTCCATATGAGCAAAATTAAAAACCTAGTCATAAAAAAACTTGGGAAAATAAAATTTTATTCAGTTTAATTTCAAAACATGATAGACTCGTGGTGGTCCTTATGTCATGTAGTAGGTTGTTCCACAACTTTGGGGCAGCGAACATAAAAGCACGATTACCAAGGGTCTTTGATGATTTCATAGGAGGAAAGCGGAGTAGGGTTCCATCACAGCAACTGCGAAGACTGTAACGTGAAAGTGTCGCAACAGAAATAAGAGAAGAAAGATAAGAAGGAGCCAGATTATTTAAAATCTTAAAAGTAATCAAAATTCTCCTAAAATCGATGCGTTGCCTCAAAGGTAACCAGCGCAATTCTCGTAATATTAGTGTGACGTGACGGATTTTAGGCACTGAATATGCCAAGCGAGTACGCACGTGTTTTGAATTCAGTGGAGCTTTAAGATAAGACTGTTAAGCAAAGCATGGTATATTACATACCAAATTAGATTTAATTTTGGTGTATTTCTAACTTTTGAAATAAAACTTGGGTAATAGTAAGTCGTTTTTGTTTCACTTGCGAATTTATCATTCCTTTTTCAACTTCTGCAACTGCGCGCTGAGATGAACTCTAATAAAAGATAACGTATCGAAACGTAAGCATATCTTTTGAGCCAAACTTTGAATAAAATGACTTGAACTCAATATTATTACCCTTACATCCTGATAAATAGATAGGTAAGGGCGTTAGCTGGGCGAAAGTTATCCGCTGTCGACATGATAAAGAAACTGCATAATGTGCCTCACCTTTTAAATTGTCATCATCAAACTGAAGTGTTTCGAATTCCTCATTAGCTGATGTGACGTCACCTTCTTTCGAAGCTGTTATTGGAGATCTCGCCATGCTTGAAGATTTACGAATTGCTGATGAAGGTTTTTCCTGCCAATAGATTCAGATAGATTATTGTCCGGTGATATTAACCGTCTTAGAAAGAGAAATTGTGATTGTTGTATCTTGTTTTGAAATCGGGCTCAGTCAGGCAGTGTAGCATGGAAAGGACCGAGGACTTTTTCTTAAAGCATGTATTTCTTTCTATTACCACCTCCTGGTCGCTCTTATTCAGGAACAAGAACGAGAGCTATACCTGGCCATTTCTTGATCATAGCCGACTCTAAGAAGTATTGTGGTTCTGGTTGTGTACACTCACCACAACAAGGAAATTTTAAAGCTCAAGCATAGTTGTTTGTAGCAAAACAACCAGCAAAGCCAGCACAACCACTTAACCCTCAAATCAAAACATAACCACCATAACCCTCCCAACCACCACAATCACCACAACCAACACAGCTAACGCAACCAGTACCACCGTCACAAACTGAACGCAGGGCCACCCAACAACAGTTTCGTTCTAAATACATTGAGAACACTTTTTGAGGCTATCCAGAGCACTTTTAGATCTCTAGAAATGCATGGTTTGTGGAACTATAAAATCTGTATCTGTTCGGTCATCCTAGAGGAACTTGAGTCTTTTCGAAATTATTAGGGCTCTAGTATTGCTTTCCCGAAAATTTTAGATGCAATTTAACGTTTTACGAAAGTGAGAATTTTTCTAATTCCTCTTTACATCGCGTTTTTGAATCCGAAAATTTTAGGTTTCCTTTTTAATACGAAAAATAGCCCAACCTGGGGACTAAAATGTGAAAAATTAGACTTCAGAAAATTGTAGCAGATTTATTGGAAAAGCTTCGAAAATTGTACATGAATGGAACTGCCATCTAAAAATTTTTAGCCGTGCTCAAGTTACAGACAATTCTAGGCAATATTTGCTTCTCCGAACAGATATTTTACAGAAAACAGTCGTTGGGTGCCCCTGTGAACGGCACCACAACCACCACACATGCATGTTGGTTGCGGTGTTTGCGAGGGCTGTGTTGGTTGTGAGAGTTGTGCTTGTTCTGCTTTTTAGCTAGTTGTGCTGGCTGTGAGGGTTTTGGCGAATGTGAGCGTTGTGATGGTTGTGGAGGTATTAGTTGGGCTGGTTGTGTTGGATGTGAGTGTTGGTCAGTGTTCTGAGGGTTGTGGGAGGTGCACTCTATATTATTGGACTCATCGGGGTTTCTTGGAATCTGTTCTCTTTGATCGATACTACAATTGTTTCTATCATATAAAAGGAGGTAAAATAACAGGCAAAGAGTTTGCATCTTTGTAAAATAAAACATAAGAGCCCTTACACTCTGAAGCTTGTTCATTAAAATCTTCAGGTTGAGCTAGTTGTGCGGGTAGTTGTGCCACAAATACTTATGCTTGAGCCTTAAAATTTCCTTGTTGTGGAGAGTGTGCAGCCTCTTCAAGCCTATCAAGAAACGTGCCAAATTTGACGAGAGCAGTGAGGCTTAATGACAAAACTAAACAAATGCAATCAAAGACAAAAATTATCAGTTGCAAATCTCTACATACAGCCCCAAGGATATACGTGAACCAATCTGTACACCATGTGTTCGTTTTTATGCTGTGAAAAGACGGCTGAAAAGAATCCTATTCGCTATCTGAGAAATACTGCCTATCAGAGTTTGTTAAATGTGCCACATAGACCAGACTAATTAGCATTCAGATGAGCCAGTGATCATCAGCTTATTATTACTGAACACATGGAGCCTGAGCAGAAAATTCGAAAGAAAGAAATAACGTTTGAAGCTATAAATAAGTAGAAGAGCTATAGCCAAATTGTGGCCGAGATACCTTATCCTTTTTATCTCAGTTTTGAAGCAGCAAACAGGTAGCATGGTAGTCTCCTTCGCAGCCGTTTTTAGGCTACTGGAGAAAGATTTAAATTGCATATTAAATCATGAGGTGAGAGCTGAGTTTTTCCCACTATTTTCTGACGGAATAAAAGCAGCTTATACGTCCTTCGTCCCTCCTTATACGCTTCCAAAAGTTCTTTTAATTTACATTCTTCTATATATCTATAGTTAACGATTTTCATTTTTTTTTTCTCCTTTCTTTTTCTTCTCCTTCCGCTTCTACCTTGAACTGCACCTTTATGACCTCAAAGCGAACTGAAAGCAAGAAGCATCTTTAATTCCTTACTCGGTTTGGAGTCTTTTTGGTGTCGGCGAAAAAACTCAACGAAACAGGATATACAATGTGACAGGCAGAAACCAAAGCATTAAACCGAGTATTTCACCCATCTTTTTTTTAAATGAGTTTATTCAAATCCTGACGCGTTGACTACCGTAACGCCACTACCTTTATGACACTATATGACACCGAAACTAGTGATGTGTTGATCTGGTTCCCCTGATATCTAGAAAAACCGTCGCAGATGCCTGATTTCGCTGATTTCTTCATGATAATAACTGAACAGCTACTTTTTCGCATTTCATAGCAAAGTTATTAGTCAGCGTTGGCGAAGAATGTGTTCAAACGGGTTTATGCAGGCCTCTCGTTAACTTTATAGCTGATAGTTTATGATTATGCGATCTCATGGGCTATAATCTCCCAGAATTTCCTAATGTATGCTTAGTAACGTCTACTACGTTCGCTTTTTGTATTAGTTTCTTTATAAGTCTGTAATAATCTTACCTCAGTTGATTTCTAAGGCATCAAACAGAACGGGGACACTTCTTCTGAGGAGTCAAGTCACTGGCATACTGTGATATGTTTCTTGATTTGCCCTTCACAGCGTCGCTAGGTTTTGAAATAAGCTTATTTGTCACTTCGAGTCATATTTTTTGGGAAACGCTGGTCAACGTAAGTCTCTACCAGAATCAGCAGAATCAGCAGTGCTGGTTTTCAGATGATCCAAATATATATAAAAGCAATGAAGCAATTCAGATTTTCTCGGAAAAGGAAGCTTAATAGTGTGAATATTTAATTAGGGGGTTTCACCTCCAGTTTCCGAGAAATCGGCACCAGTCTTACGTACCCTTGAAGAGGAAAAAACCAGAGAGAGCCTAGGAACGAGGTTGACGACAATCTGCTCAGAAAGAGAATCATCATTATTTCGAATACAGATTTCATTATCTAATCAGAGAACCTGAGTGGCGGATAGTGGGATGAGAAAAATGTTACGATTCAATTACTCCTGGCGCAGAGTACAGAAACATGGGAACAGCTTGTGCTTAACCAAGATTAAAGGATTTTCACGACCTAACTGAAATATCAGTCCATACATTCACCATTTTCACATGGACAATAATGACTCTTTTTTACGTCCCAGAATTTAACATAACCATTGTTCCCAATTTCTCCTTGGTGTGACAATCATCCCAAGAGAGATCGAAGACAATGGTTATGCGAAATTTTGGAGGTTAAAAAAGGTGCAATATGGTCTATGTGAAAATGGTGAATTGTCACGTTTTCAGTTATTCTGCTCGTTATTTCTGTTGTCCATATTAATAAACTTAAAAAAATAAGTGTGTATAATCAAATGGCGACGAGTGAAGTAGCGAATAATTTCACGCACGTTTTGTCCAAATTCTAAAGGCTCGGGAAATTATTAGAATTTGGACCACCCTCGGAGGCTCAGGAGCGGTCAGTTGGGTCAGGAAAAACAGTGGAGAACGTTTTCAAGAACGGGTAGGAGAACCTCTGGGGTAGAATATTTTTATTAGGAAATTTTAGTTGCATGCTATTCTTAAATAACCGGTTCCACGACCTATTCGACTGCGTGTCTGTGATTGTCCACAAAAATAATTTTGCGCCCAATAAGGAGCCAGCAAAACTTTCGCCGTCGTTTTTCCTGACCCAACTAACCGCTCCAGGGCTCTCCGAGGATGAATTTGGACAAAATTCCCTAATTTCACGAGTATACCATTTGATTACCTATTAATATCATATGTCACAAACTACGCTCACAATCATGGGTTTTTGACATGTTTATCATATATAGATTATCGATCGAGAACTCCTCGCACTGAAAAGTTTAGAGCTTGAATTTTCGCCTAAATGCAGAATTTTCTTTATTTTTTTCCATATATCCTTTGATTATTATAAACTTTAATAACTTTAAGCTGCTTAACAAGATAATCCAAATACAGGTTTCTAATCTTGAACCAATAGCTAAGTGAGTACCTGTCAACCTAACTGCAATATACCATAACAACGGCAAGGCTAAATAGGATAAATTAGCAGAGGCAATACAACAGAAAGTATAAAGAGGAACTTTAGAGCTATTATAATGGACCAGCTATAGTGTAATGATTGTGTCTTTACTAAGCTACGCTACGCCTACCGAGGAATTACCACAATACATCAACTGGGAAAAAACTGAGCAAGCTGGGTGGTAAAACTGTATGAGCAGGCCCCAAAGATTGTTAAAACTGGACAATGTCACTTGATATAACTGTCAATAGCGTAGAGTCCAAGTAAGTTAAAAAGCAAAAATGACTGAAAATTAAACTAATACCTTGACATTACCTAGTAAACAAACATTAATGCTCGTCTCATTTTCTGAACTCATGAAGTTGTTATTGAACTTTATTGTGGTTCTTGAACTTTAGTGTCTTTATCGAACTACACAAAAAGGAAAACTAACGCCTGGGTGGGAGGCTAAGCCACCCATGTACTGACTGCAAAAATATCTTTGGATTTCTTTATCACGATTTTCAATTTTTTCCAGGATTATAATTATAATTAAACTTTGTGTAAAGTAGCTCTCACTATTTTCTTTTGTCACTTTAGGCTAGGAAACTTACTCCTGAGAAAGCACATGAGTACATCAAAAGTCGAAGACCTCACATCTTACTTGCTTCTCGGCAATGGGAAGCCATTCGATTGTTCCATATTATGCCTTACTCAACAGGACAATGATCTCAGTTGATAAAAATCCACAACTTCCTTAATTTATGGTAAATGACGACTAATGGCCCCAGCAGCGTATTTAACTTCACCCTCCCCAAACTCATGGATGTATTTTCAAAAACGGATACATTCTCTATTCCAAATCTACTCAATTCCTGAGCATTTGCCAAATTTTTAGCTTGTGTTACCTTGTACTAAAGTAAAATACTTTACTTGTGAAGCGGTAGTACCAATTCATGTACGTACATCATGTTTTTCCAATTTTACTGTCTAAAACCGTCAAAATAACTAGATATAAACGTGGCCTCTTACAGGGGCACTGTGGTAAAAAATGTCTTGCTCTTCAGATATCGTGCGCTTTTCCCGTTTACATCGCAGCGCGATCTCACTTGGCCTAAAAAATGATTTAATGAAATTCATGTAGCAGCAGTAAGGCTGGAACCGTCATTGCATAAAATGGCTTAAAATTTGAGGGAAAAAAGTGATTAAGAATAATAAAATTTGAAATGATTAATTATTGAACAAAGACAGGATACACCTGCCAACATATATCTATTCAGCTCGTGTAATAATCATGGAGTCAGGTCTGCCTCCACTAGCTTTGCTATTTGGAGGCTTGTCTTAAATTTTTTGTAATTCCGTTACGAATTCAAATGAAAATTATGTACTCGCGAAACCATCACAACACAAGAGCGCGCCCGCCTAAATGCGGTTAAGCAACAAGTCGAAGGTCGTCCAGTGCAACGCCGAATTGTATCAGCCAAAGCATTTTATAGAACGAGTACAATAGAAATGTTGCGTGTTTTCCCTCTTCTCGAGTGTTTCCTAAAATTTCCCAAGTGCTCATGTAACTCAACAACGCGCGAGAAACGTTTCTTTACTATCGCGTGCTAATCCTAGTGATAATAAGAAAAGATCGCGTGCACTCCTATTTACACGCACCGCACGAACAACATAGTACGGAGGCGTGCAGAGTGAACTATAAGCTTGGAAATTTATTAAATGCCGTCTGCAAAATACAACTTGACTATCTACACAATGTAACAACTATAAACGTGTAAAATCTGAGCTAAAGCCTTAACTGAAAACACCTTTTGATACTACAAGAGAAAGGTGGAAACGCATCCCTCAAGCAAATGCAGGCGCCCTAAACTTGGAGGGTAAAACGGACAAAGGAAATACAATGGAACCTCTCCAGGGGATAGCTTTGTTCAAGGGACAACTCCACTCAGGGGACACAAAATTTGGTCTCAGAAAAATGTTTACATAATCTTTGTATCTGTTACCTCTAGTGAAGGGTGACCTCTGTACAGGGGAAAGGGACACTTTTTCTTGGTCCCAAAACCCAGCTTTAACCTCCATTCAGGGGACACCTCAAACACAAAAAGCGTTCTTCATGTAAATCTAAGTGTCACTAGTCACAATGACATCAGCTTTGACAACATGAACTATCTCACTTAAATCCATGTACTGCACTTGTGGGAATTCTACACACAATAGAACGTTTTCACATGACGTCACGGCGGCCATATTGGTGTTCCAAAACAATGAAACGGCGGCCATGTTGGTGTACCAGACAACCCTGTGGGAATTGAACTCTTTTCTTACGTAAAAACTTTCTATTGTTCCAATCAATTAGCATAGATACTGGCCACGTGAGTGAAAACGCTCTATATCTAAGAGATGGGTTAATCATGATTTTTTTAAACACGTTCAAGAGCTAAGATGCATACATAATGACCTAAGGCGTGAGGTAGCGTGCGTTCTCTATGGAATAAAATGAACTTGTTTTTCTTGACCAACCACAACACAAGCACTTGGACATTGTTTTCTCAATCTAGCCTGCCTCCCTCTCTTTTCTCTTTCGCGCTTTTCTCCCTTTCCACCTTCCCCTACTCTTTTTGCACCTGGCGCATTATTAGACTGGTGACTTAAGATGGATACCAGACTGCTACGCAATACCCTAACAAAATACTTTAACTATGGCACTACTATACACTAATTCCATCGTCTTCTATTGTTTACTTGCAGCTATTTGGCATTAATTTTTGTATTTGTTTCATGGATTAAGTAAAATCACTATAACGAAAGAAAGCATCCATCTTCCAGCAGGCTTTTGTAAAAGTAAAACGGCTTTGTTGGGTGACAAAGCAATACACTTTTGGTTAGTCTGAACCTTAATTCGTTTAATTCGTTTCAAGCGTCTGCCTTAGCATCCCTTAGTTATTCTAGAGGTCTCAAACGCGTCAAACGTCTCTACGGCCATTGTTTACTATTATATAGTCGTAATAGCATTCACGAAAGAGAAAAACCCTGGTACAAACAAAACAGGGTCAATATGGTCTGTTTAGAACTCATTTGAATTAAACGTATTGGCTAGAAATAACTCTTACAAAAGGCGTTTAGGAAACTTGATCATAAAATGGGTAATCTTATTATATAGCTACGACTGAGCTGTTTTAAACAAAAACTAAATTTCCGCTTACTTTTACATTCTTCATAGAATCGCCTCAACCTCTTGCAAAAACTTGAGAGTGGAATGAGGAATGAGTTCACGGGACGGCTTGATGGAAACGGAATAGATTACTTGACATAAAGTAGAAATTACTGAAACCCTAATCCTAAACGCATAGTTTACAATTTATAACATTCCCCATGTCACACCACCAGCCTAGTACCTAGGCGTTCTCGGCTAGGTCAATTCTGGGCTGTTACGTCGCCGAGAGAGACTCGCCCGCTGTTTCCCGGACTCTGCGCGGAGAACGGGCAAGAGAGAACGCCTAAGGACTAGGCTGCCACGCCACGTGTCATTCCGCTGAGTTATTCCTCCTCTTACCCAATCCGTTGACAAAGCGGTTATAATCATACTTTTAAATGTTAATTACAACAAGAAAAATTCTATTTTCGTGTCAGTTTAAAGTGTACGATAAAACTGTACTCTTTGTCCAAGGCTTAAAAAGTAAAAATCGAAAGGAGTCCGAGTTTGTAAACGTCTTTGCTACGGTTGAACTTGAAGAAAAGTAAGCTAAATAGGTTCATCCACATGGTGATCACTAAAAGTTAATACTGTACGTGGTTTTTCGTTGGTGCTTCGAGCAGTACTGTAAATCCTTTTTTGGTAACTACTAGGGAAGACATGAAAAGCAGACTTTAGAACCTGCCTCAGCCTGAGGTGCAGCCTTGCAATCCATATTTTTCTATTGGTGTCAGCATCTGTCGTGGTAACGCTGCACCCTCTGAAACAATCAGCTAATAGAGTATGCCAAGAAACAGCCTATGGCTTTCAAAACTTACATCAGTGAGCTGCAAAAATAAAAATATTGCAAAATATTAGCTATCAGATCCAGACCAGGGCAGGTCCTTTCAAGATAAATGGTTATACAGTAACACTTTCCGCAAGTTATTACCTTGATGAGAGGACATACAGCGATATCAAGCCAATCTACTTTGCTCATTGTAATTCGATTAAAAATTAAGGTGTTTCGATACAGTTTTTCAGCGGCGATACCGATATTTTTCAATCGCCTTAAAAGTGATTTTTTCCTTGTCCGATCGCTATAAAATTTTCACCAGTAATTGCTTATGGATTGAAATATGTGAAAAAATAAAAGCCGAATTTTGTGTGATCTAGACCTGCTACTGAAAATCCAACACTAGGAACTTAAAGTTTGGTGTTTAGCAAACAATCTCCGTAAGAAGTAAAAAATTCTGTATGTTTGAATTCGACTAAAACGGAAAAAATATTTCAAACCTTAAACTTTCAATAGCCGTGATAGGTTATTTAATAAAAACGTTACAAATGACTCAAATTATTCAAAAACAAGGTGAATTATGGTCTTTGTGAAAATGGTGAATAACGGAGAATAGGATATAATATATCAAGCATGAGACGCAGTGTTTCATCACCAGATGAAACACTGAGAGGAGAGTTGAAAGTACGACGCGCAGTGGGATATTTTTGACGAACTTCGAGGTGTTTAATCTAGTGATGAAACATTGTGTCAACTGCTTGATATTACTTCTCAAACGAAATGATTTTAGAAGGAGAAATTAAGGATGCAAAAATCAGCAGTTTTTCATCTTATTTCCAAACACTCATTAAACATTAATTTCCTTTGTATTTTCTTTATGAATTATTAATGAGTTTGAGTAGTGTAGATGAAAGTCTATTTGAATTAACTCTGCAATTGAAAGAAAAGCTTGTCAAAATATTGTTCATAAAATACAAGATTTATGACGTTACCTCGGCATTGTGGGTTTTCTATTCGTTCCCAGCAAATTCCAATGTGACGTCATCACCAATAAGCACGAACGGTGCCCAATACTTGACTGCATTAAACTCCTCAGATTCTCTCATACAGTTCATTGTTTGATTCAAAGATTCACTAGCACTTATCCCTTTCACAAGATGCTGATAGAAATTTTTCATGAATTCTAAAGTGGCTTCATCATCGATTGCCCATAACGACACAAGAACAGAACGAGCACCAGCACCCAAAAATGCTCGTGCTATACCGACCACACCCTCAGCTTTGATCTCCCCACGAGCACTGTGACAGCAACTGAGTACAACTAGTCTTGCTCGCATCTGAACACCCAGTACATCTCTCATTGTCAAAATGTTCTCTTTCACACCTTCTGTTGACGCTAGAGCAATCTCGCCCGTTTCCATATTGCCATGTGCAGCGATGTGCACCAAGGCAACAGAACCGAGTCGAGTTAAAACCTCATCCTTTGTGGCCTGTGTTCCAAGTACAGGTGTGATGCCAAGCATTCTGCCAATCATTTCTACTTCCTCCCTTGCACATGGTAGTGGTTGACGCTCTGTCAAAGGATCACCCACAAGAAGTGCACCTGACTTGTGATGGTAATCTACCTGACAATCCTCAATCATTTTCAAGCTGGTGAGGGATGGAGCCACGCGAATTTTGAATGATTCACATAAGTACTTGGAATCTGGGCCCTTGAATGCAGCAAAAGGGGCCAAGCAAAGTGGACCCTCAGGGATGAAGATGAGTTCGCTACCTAAAAACAGATCTTGAATTGGCTCAATCATGATTTCATACAATGTGCTTAAGGCATCTTTTGTAAGGCCTAAGTTTTGGGTCTCTCTGCCATACTGAGGTGATCTCTTAGCTACAAGGCTTTCATCCCTCGCCAATTCAATTGATCGATCCTCGCACTTGAAAAGACTTCTGGTACCAATTTCCTGGTGCAGAACTTGTAAAAGATCCGTAAAGAAAATGTTGACTTCATCCCGCGAATCGATTTGTTTCGTTTTTAATTCAACATCCTTTCCCCTCTGGCAGACCCAGATGTTTAATTCGTTCTCTCCAAATGCCATAAAAAATGTATTTGGAGAAGGGTAACTAAGCAGGTCATTTACTGATTTGTTTCCTGTACCTGATCTAACATCACTCCTTTCGACATCACTCCTTTTGAAGGCATAATTTAATTCAAGAAGGTCTTTTAAGCCTTGTGCTCGTCCTTGCTCGGCTGAAAACAGAGCCTCTGTAACTTTGCCTTCTGCTAACAACAAACGCCAAAGTGAAGTGTATACTATTGGGTAATTATCACGTAAACTTATTTTCCACTCGTCGTTCAATTCAAGGCGATCTCTGATATTATTAAACAAAGTGATTCCTAGCTGATAATATTCAATAGCCACTGGAACTTGGCCTAGAATTTCAAAACATTTCCCAAGATTGGAACATGTTACTCCCTCTCCCAAGGTGTCACCCAGTTCTTTAGTAGTTTTCATGCAACGTTTATGGTAGTCTATGGCTGTTTTAAAATCTTCCAGACTATAATAGGCATTGCCAAGATTGCAATACGCCTTTTCCTCTAAAGATCTGTCACCCAATGCTTTCGCAATCTTCAAAACACTTTTATGGTAGTCTATGGCTGTTTTAAAGTCTCCCAGACTTTGATAGGCGTTGCCAAGATTGCCATGAGCTACTCCTTCTCCGGGTGTGTCACCTAATTCTTTGGAAATGTTTAGCGCATGCGCATGGTATTCTATGGCTGTTACATAGTCTCCCAGACTATGATGGGTGTTTCCAAGATTTCCATACGCTCTTTCTTCGCCCAATCTGTCACCCAATGCTTGCGCAATATTCAGGTCACGCTTATGGTAGTCACTTGCTGTTTTAAAATTTCCCAGACTGTAATAAACGTTGCCAAGGTTGCCATAAGCTTTTCCTTCTCCGGATCTGTCACCCAATTGTTTCTCAATTTTCAGGTGACGTTCATAGTAGTCTATGGCTGTTTTGAAATCTCCCAGACTGTCATAAGCGTTTCCAAGATTGCAATACGCAGCTCCTTCTCCGGACCTATCATTTAGTTCTTTTGCAATTTTGAGGTGATGTTCATGGTAGGCTATGGCGCTTTTAAAATCTCCCAAACTTTGCTGGGTGTTGCCAAGATTACTATACGCTTTTCCTTCTCCGGATCTGTCCCCCAATCTTTTCGAAGTATTCAGAAGACGTTCATAGCAGTCTATAGCTGTTTTAATATTTCCCAGACTTTTATGAGCGTTGCCAAGATTTCCGTACGCTATTCCTTCTCCGGGTCTGTCACCAAATTCTTTCGCAATTTCCAGACTACGTTCATGGTAGTCTAATGCTGTTTCAAAATCTCCCAGCCTGAGATAGGCGTTGCCAAGATTGCTATACGCTCTTCCTTTCCCCGATCTGTCCCCCAATTCTTCCACAATTTTCAAGTCATTCTCATGGTAACTTAATGCCGTTTTAAAATCTCCCAGATGTCGATAAGCGTTGCCAAGATTGCAATACGCCTGTCCTTCTCCGGATCTGTCACCTAATTCTTTTGCAATTTTCAGGTCACGTTTATGGTAGTCTACTGCTCTTTTAAAATCTCCCAGACTGTGATAGGCGTTGCCAAGATTTCCATACGCTCTTCCTTCTCCAGATCGGTCACCCAGTTCTTCGGCAATTTTTAGGTGAAGTTCGTGGTACTTAATTGCTGTTTTTAAATCTCCCAGACTTCGATAGACGTTGCCGAGATTGCCATACGCTTTTCCTTCTTCCGATCTGTCATCCAATTCTTTCGCAACTTTCAGATGACGTTCATGGAAGAGTAAGGCTGTTTTGAAATCTCCCATTCTGTGATGGGCGTTGCCAAGATTTCCAAACGCTCTTCCTTCTGCCAGTCTGTCCCCCAATTCGTTGGCAATTTTTAGGTGACGTTCATGGTAGTCTTTGGCTGCTTTAAAATCTCCCCGAATGTGATGGGCAATGCCAAGATCGTCATACGCTCTGCCTTCTTTCGTTCTGTCACCCAGTTCTTTGGCAATTTTCAGGTGACGCTCATGGTAATCTATGGCTGTTTTGAAATCTTCCAGACTATGATGGGCATTACCAAAATTGCTGATGTTCTCAGCAGTTGTGTTTGTCGCCTTCGTGCACGTTTCCTGCAGAACAAGTCATGTACAATTTATAAAATCATATTTTACTTCGTAGTTTCATAAATTTTAAAACTCTCACGTGGAAATAAACGCCGAACTATTCTTTTTGCAAACGGACCAATAACATTCATAAATTTGAGGGCTGTTTCCTGAGAGGTCAGGAAAGTTCAAACGGTTTTAAAGTTTTCAACGGTTGCATAGTATTTGTATTTTATTGGTCAGTCTACAAAAAAACTTGAGTGTCTTTTGTTTTCAAAAAACGTTGTGATTGTGATTGGATAATCTGCTTCCAAGTGCTCCAGATCGAGAAGTCGCACTAAAAAATGGTGTCATAATGCGGTCTGTGAGTTTATTTACCATCAGAGTTTGTAGCGTTAAGATCTGACCTGTTGAACTCTATAAATTAAACAACAGTGTACAGTGTACGTGATGGTTATAAGTGCGGTAATTACCTAGAAATCGGTAGAAATTCTCACCACGCTGTTTTTACTTCCGCTCATCGCTTTACTTTTGTTTTGAAAGTCATTGAAGAGGAATAAGCCAAAAACAGAAGTCGGAGAAGCTACCGATTATAGTAAACATTTTTGGTTGTGAGGGAACAGTCAAGAGTTGAAGGCATAGAGATGCGAAAAATAACGGTATTAGAAACGTTGGAACATGTACTTTTAGCAGTCGCATTTCGCAATATGGCAACCGGCGTCTACAGGGAAAGATTCCCTGCACGTCCAATGGTGAATTACTTAATGTAACTTACGCCGTCCGGTTAACCACAGTCGGTCGGAGCTCTTTTATTGAAAGAAATACATGTTTTGTCAAAGAGAAGGCTTGAGGCCGCCCTGTTTCATCGCAAATCCGTGCTTCGTTTGGCTTGCATGGCGTGTGTGTTCTTATTGTACTACTGAAGATGTAAGCTTAAAAGTTTGACATGACGAACCCTGTGTCACGACACAAAGATACACGAAAACATGACGACAGCCACACAAAATTGACAAAAACTGATTTAATGGCTTATGATTTGGTAAGGTCATTCTACAGGCATAAACCAAAGTGGAATTAATTGTACTTTGAGCCATAACACATAGTAAGCTTATTAAGTGAATGACATTCAAGGTCATTCATAAACACTCGACATATTTTATCTTACTTGATTCAATCCTGTCGCGCGATCCTGTCGCGTAACCATCCTTTTGCTTTTTTTAGTGCATGCAGAGAAAATAAGTTCGCAGTCCGTATAGCTATCCTGTGAAGCTGTACGATCTCTACGGATTTGTGAATATTCCAGAACGAACGTGACGGCGTCATGAATGCTTGCTAAATCATCAATAACGCGACGGCATTCTCGCCCCAGTTTCTTATCGGAATTTTCGCAGCGCGAGGTCACAAAATAACGTTCCCGTTCTGTTGCTAAATCAGCCTGTTGTAGCGGAGGCAAAACACCGCAGTCACGCGTTTGCCGTCTTTGCTAAGATTTACAGAGAGATCTGGTTGAGTGCTGAAAATGATCTAATTGACGCCCACCTTCAATTATATACGTCTCCTGATTTATAAACGTCCCCTTGGTTTAGTTTTAAGTTTGTACTTAAGGCGCTATAATTTTTCACTTTCTTACGTGATTATCAAGGGTTTGCGCATTAAATCTTAAATGTCATGTTTAAAGTGAGAATAGGCTAACTATGACAACACAATGACCCTGAACGAGTATTCTGACACTGCGATTTGACTGAGAGCGATATGGTCCTCTTCTCTATAAGTATCAATGGGTGGACTGGATATTCTACAATTTGATTTGACATTTTCGCTAAAACGTTTTTTTTTTTGCTAGTCAAATTTATAAGAATAAACGCCTCTATCTGAGATATTATTTAACAAAGGGATGAATGCAAAGGGTTCGTGGTTCTAGATCAAGACTAAGGAGGGCAAAGATAGAAAATTCCTTTCACCTAGTATACCTACAATTGTAGTACTAACCTGTCAGGAACCTTAAAAGAGGGGACTTTTCGATTTAGGGGAATCAACGCGAGGCTTCTCGTTGGCCTTTCCGACGATTTCTCTGGTGCCTTTATTTATATCGAGCAATTTTTTTCTGACTGAATATCTCCAGGACTTTTTCTGTTTCTACTTATAATGTTTACCACGTAATAAAAATTTAAAATCGAGGGAACTGGCTATCTTACTTTGAAACGTATTAAAATTAATGTACCGAACATGAAAGATACAATCACTTACTTCATATATAGATCTAGAAATGCAAATGAAAGGAATTTGATTCGGTTGTCGAGTTTCAGTTAGAAAGTAGAGCTGACCAGCTAACAAGTCCAAAAATGGCTGTGTTTGTTAACGTAAACATGAGGATGAAGCCTTTGATTAACGCCTAAGATAAAAGATACGTTCCTTGAGTAGTTGACCCAGACGCCTTTGCAAGTGTTTGTTTCACTGGTCGAAACTGATTGCTGGGTCTCCAAGGCAGTGGACACCGGCTGCATCCAAAGCCGATACTTTTCCCCGCATACCCTTAAAATGTTTAAGGAAAAACTCCCTGAAAACACGGTTAAGTCTAGTTTTCCCATCTTTCATAACAATATTGTGAGCATCAACCGCAACCTAGAAAATGTAGAATTGTTATTAGATGAACTTGATTTCCACTTTGATATAATTGGTATCTCGGAAACAAAAATTACAACTTCTAATGAGAGTAACGCCCATCCGTGCATTCCAGGTTATGTTTTTGAGCATGTGCCAACACCACTGGCCTCCGGAGGCACTGGCCTCTTTGTTGATCAATCTCTAAACTACAACGTTCTTGCAAAAACTTCAGATGAGGCATTCCAAGCCCTCTGGGTTGAAATCTCTTTTTTCAACCACTAAAGCATCGTTTGTGCAATAATTTATCGTCAGCACAATTCGCCCGATTATTTCCTAACGTATCTAGATAAGACTAAAGAAAAAATGGTCTCAGATGACAAGGACGTTCAAAACAATTGGTGACTTTAATATAGATCTACTCAAGTGTGAATCATCTCAAATAAGCCAGGATGTTTTAATCTCTCTTCGAAGACTATGTTTATAAGTGCAAATCTCCAATTTCATCCTTCCTTTTTCAAACTGTTTTACACGAAGAATTACCGTCAGAAATATTACTTGTACCGTATATATGATATAAATCTTATGGTTTATGCTCCTCTCTACCAAACTACTCAAATGTTCAAGTGCCGCCATAACTCATGTCCTTACAGAGATACTTAATACATCACATCCATCAAATTAAGGACTTATCCATCAAAACTCAAAATTACAAAAATTAAGCCAGTATTTAAGAGTGACGATGATACGGACGCAAAGAACTACAGACCTATCTCTTTACTTTCAAATTTTAATAGTATTTGAGAAAATAATTTTCAAATTGACGAGCTATATAAAGAAACACGATCTTCTGTATTCCTAACAATACGGCTTTCGTAAGGGGCAGTCAACCCAACACGCAATACTGGACATTGTTAATGATATACAGACAGACATGAATCAGCCATTGATATCTTGTCGAGTATTCCTTGATCTTAAAAAAGCCTTCGACACAGTCAATCGCGACATTTTGCTTGATAAGCTCAATCACTATGGCCTTTGTGGAATAATTAATGAATGGTTCTCCTAATATCTCAAAAATCGCACGCAAACAACGCAAGTAGGCTATCATATATCAGATAAAGCCGTCGTTGGATGTGGTGTTCCTCAAGGATTAATTCTTGGACCATTGCTTTTCTTGTTCTATGTCAATGATATCCACAGGTGCTCGAATAAATTTAGGTTTTTGTTCTTTGCAGACGACACTAACATTTTCTATGCGGACAAAACTCTGAAAGATCTTGAGACAATAATCAACAATGTGCTACAAAACCTTTATAACTGGTTGACAGGCAAAAAACAAACTCTTAACATTAATATATCCAAATTTGTAATTTTCCATCCTTACCAAACGCGACTTACTTACAAAACTTTGCATGTTTGATAATGAAAAGAATAAATATACTCGTCTCGAGTCTAAAGTTGAACCAAAATACCTGGGCGTTCTTATTGATCAGAATCTCTCTCGGAAATACTACATTGATTCTGTTGTTACAAAAATTAATAAAAATGTTGGGCTAATTGAAAAGCTACACCACCCTGTACCTCGACCAATACTAGTCTGGATCGGCCACTGACTATATTTAACCTATGGCCTTAGCTTGCTGCCTGGGATCGGGCATGCAAGACTTATCTTAATAAAATTCTAATTCTTCAGAAAAGAGCGCTTCGTTTGCTGTACTTCGCAGACTGGCATGACCATGTAATTCCTTTATTTCTCGAAGCTAACGTGCTTCCAACAACTTTTCTTTATTATGAGTCCGTATCAACCTTAATGCGCGATATCAATAATGACAAAGCCCCAGCAAACATGTTAAATTAATTTCAGAAAACGTCTTATATTAACTCATACAATACACGATCGTCTACGTCTGGAAAGTTCTATGTTAAAAGTTCTAGACTAGAAATACAAAACAATTCTTTCTCTCGGCTCGGAGCAAAGCTGTGGAATAAGATACCACCCTATACAACGGATCTTCCAAAATAGCTTTTAAAAGAGTTCTCCGCAAATTGCGAAGCAAACTATTCAAGTTTTGTATTTTTGTACAAAGAATAAAGTTGTTGTTGTTGTTGTTACCTACAACGAAGTATAAATGTTTTTTTTTTTTTCATCCTTACCTTTTCTTGGTGACTTCCTTGCAGTTTGCTTTTTTCTTTCATAGACCAGCTCCGAATTCCCAACAACTTCTGGTTATTCGAGTCAATCTTTCATTAGTTAAATTGTTCAGTTAACTGTCATATATTAAATAAACAAATTGCAAAGCTACCCAACTTGAAATATAGTATTTCTTATTAGTCACATAACCCCAATAGTGTCTCTGATTGCAAATTACTTAATAATAATAATTTTTTATGTAGCAGCCTCCCGATTATCAAAATTAAGTTTGCTAATTTGAAAAGGGGATACATGTTCTTGCCTGAGGGAACCTCGTGTAAGAGAAAAGGTGTAGAAGGCCTAAATGTAATAAACGACCCTAAATGTAATAAACGACCCTAAATGTAATAACATTTTGTCCTAAATGTAATAAAGTCCTAAATGTAATAACAATTTGCCCTAAATGTAATAAACTCTTAAGTTGCCAATTTCAGTAATTACTCGAATAAACGCCGCCCTCAAATAAGCGCCGCGGGGCTTATTCGTGTGAATACGGTACTAAGCGGTATTACTATGGCATTAAGCACCGCTCTCAAATAAGCGCCGCATTTTTGGAAAAAAGTTGTTAAGCGCCGCGGTGCTAATTCTCGTAAATTCGGCACATCTCCTTATGCACTGTGAAACTTAACGTTTAAATTGCTTGTAAATGACAAAGTAACAGTATTTTTTTAAAAAAGCACTATTCAAGCAACTGGAAAAAAGTTTTCTATTGTTTTTATAAAATAACTTTCCCGAGAAAAAAGAAAAACTCTTTGTTTAGGTTACTGATTAAAACAGAAACTCTTACCAGTCGCGAAGTCTTGTACATGAAGCTTAATGTACGTGTAATCAGTTCTTGTTTTGCAATAAAGATACTTTCCACAAAAGAGTTTTTCTCGCTTAAAACGTCAGCTTAAGCGAAAAAAAATTGGCACAGCATGTTTGTAGAGATTTTCCAAGTTTCATCCGACGAGGGAATGGGTAAATAAAGTAAATTTGTCGAGTTTTCAACTCAAAAACATTTTAAAATTCGTGCTTGTGAGATTAGCTTGCGAAGAGCAAAACATCTTGAGTCCACATATGTTTACATGCTCTCATGCAAACACATCTCTCGGCCAATCAGAGCGCGCGCGTACTTTCTTAGTTATTTATAAACGTTGTTACCAGCTGTGCAGTAGTCTTTAGGGCCTGTTTACATGGAGGTGGGGGACCCCAGATAGGTGAGGTAACATGCGGCGGGTCACCCCACCTACCATGTAAACGTAATCAAATTAAAATGAGAGATTATGTGAACAGGAGGGTTACCCACCAAAGCGGGCTACCTCACCTACCTGGGTTCCCCCACCTCCATGTAAACAGGCTGTTAGACTTCTCGTTTTTTGTTCTTAATATTTTAGCTGATTAGATCTCTTTTCTAGAGATCCAACGTTGACAAGCAACAGAGTCTTCGTCCCATAATTAACACAATTACTGGACAATATAAAATTGAGCTATCCGTGAAACTGGTATTATGATGCTATGATCCCGACCGAACCGGGTTGAAAATTTGCTGAATTTTTGTGTCATAAAGTTGCATTCTCACATGGAAGTAGTCTTTGTCTTCTGGTTAATTCTCCCATATACGACCATATACAGTTTCTTGTTCCAGAGCCTAGAAATACACTTTCTTTTGATTAAGTTTCGTGAAGTCTTGGTAACCGAGCGTTTTCTTTGAATCCTAGGGAATGGGCAGTGGACACGCGGTGTTCTCTCTTAAACGAGCGGCGGCGCCTGTGCTCAGGATTCAAAAAGAACTCTTGGTTAGGGAAATTGAATCCAAATTAAAATTATTCTATCAACTTTAGGAAAGGATACTGCTAATCCTTTATCACACCAAGTGATGGCTTCGTCAAACTTTTTCAACTGAACGCAGGCACTTGCACCTGTAAATACAAAAAGTATAGCTTAGCACTAACACATTTCATGCATCTAATGCTGATTATGTTGTTTGTAGTATCAAGGGAAGGACTATTTGAAAATTTGTGTGGGCGATGAAAGGCAAGCGGAAACAACGTACGGCGAAAAAAAATCATGTACATGGAACAGTCCAGGATAGGACAATTGCACAGCCAACATTACATCTACTGCGCATTTTTTTGTAGCGATAACTGCGTAGGTTTACAAACATTGCATTATGATATCCCATGCTACCATGTTATAAACAGTGGCAGCAGCTTTAGTGAAAGCTTCTGATAGAGAAGAGATATAAGCTGACTTAACCTGTTGTACACCAGACCGATCAAAGATGGAGTCAAAAAATCATAGTAAATACAGCTGCAACTGAACGTTAAAACAGTACTAGAAGAACATCACGTTTGTTGTCAAGGCGAGACGGGAAACGAGGAGGTCGTTAACTACTCGCAGATGTAGAGTGGTTTTTCCATAGGTTGACTGGTGCGTTAGAAGAACAGAGTACGTTTGAGAAAGTTCCGAAATTTTTGATATTGTGCTGAAACATTCGGTTGCCGTGGTTACAGGCTATTTGGTTCGCCACAATCTTATCATCCTTGGAAAGAAATTTCAGGGATTGATCCAGGTATTTTTTCTCAGGACGGTCCAACCTGAACACCCTGGTGAAGCTAATAATTTCCATCCTTCTACGTCGTTACACATTGTTTTTTTTTTACAACAGTACATGTGAACACGAAACATTCTACTCATAAAAATCAATCGCCTCTTGTGTTAAAATTCGTAAATAATGAACTTTCTCTGTTCAGATTTAATTAAAACTGATCAAGTCCCATGGTTAAAAGGCAACATGAACAACCAAGTTCTGTTTCTCAGCCAGGAAATGGATTCAACACTAACTTTTGACGACGGGACTATAGCTAACTTACCTCGCACAAAAGCTTTAAAGAAAGATGGTCGTAAGCCCACGGCAATTTTTGCATCATCCAGTGTTTTAGTGTAATTACCTGTGAAAGAATGAATGCAAAAAGACGATGGAACCATTTCACCACAGTAGTCACATAATCACTGCTAATATTTATAGCAGTTGCTACACTCCCCGCCCCCAAAACGATCCGATAGGCAAAAAGAAATTAATGATATCTAAAACAACTAACAGCAACTTCTCACCCAAATTAAAACGTGCCGCCGCCCTGTTGCTGTACAGTATGGCGTTCAGTTCTTCATCTTTACAGTTCACTTCAATTCCCTCCGTGTAGAATTGAATGGCGTTGTTAAAATTGTTCTTCTTGTACTCATCGTTGCCCTCATTTTTGTAGACCTCAGCGATTGCTACAATAAATAATAATAATAATAATAGTAATAATAATAATAATAATAATAATAATAATAATAATTGTCACTTACATAGCACAATTTCCATATGAATACTCAATTGCGCTCCACAGTAGACCGCGAGGGGTCGTCCTTCTTCCCCACGTGCGGTGAGCGAAATAGTGAAATTACGTAAATTAATGGTAAAAAGGAGGAGAGATTGGGGCGGAGAGAGGACTCTTGTTTTTCCTTCGCTCGGGCTTCCGCCCTCGTTTCTCGCGGCTTCGCCGCTGTAACTCAAAACCCGGAGTACTCAATCGATAAATCGATAAGAATCGATGAATCTGATTTGAATGATATCGATTGTATCGATCAATCGATAGAAATCGATAACACACTCGTTTCGTTCATCGATTTATCTTGATTTTCACTAATTTCATCGATTTATATCGGAAAATACATCAGTCCATCCGCTCATAAAAAAATAAAAACTGAATTCATAAAAACGATAAATTTGTTGACAATTGATTTGCAATTGAGAAGTCGAAGGATCAAACAATTACCCTCACTTTCTTTAAAAAAAATGTTATCTTTTGTTTGAAACTAGGTTTAAAATCTTCTCCTGGTGGCTGATATTGGCCAGGTTTAAAGACGCCCAATTTTTCACTATTTAGACCTGCCACCCTTTCAAAATAACGTCGGTGTAGTTCCGGGTGTAGTTGCACCCCGGAGAAGCCAATAGATAAAAATCGAAATCGATGAAAATAGTTAGCAATCAAGTGATTTTTATCGATTGACTACTCCGGGCTCAAAAGAAAAATAAGAAACTGCTCGCTGTCTAGCTTCACAGAAGTTCTAAAAATATCAAAAATAATAGTAATAATTACATAAGAGGATACGAGTAAAAATTAAGAACCCTGTCATGAAAAAACTTGGGACAATAAAAATATTTTCAGTTTCATTTTAAAACATGATACACTCGTGGTCGTCCTTATGTCATGTAGTAGGTTGTTCCACAACTTTGGGGCAGCGAACATAAGAGCGCAATTACCAAGGTTTTTTTTCTAACTTTTGAAGTAGAACTTGCGTGATATTAAGTCGTGTTTGTTTAACTTGCGAATACATTATTCCGATATATTAAAATTCATACTTGGCAGCGAGGCTTGGGGGAATAAAGCAAAAGAAATCATCTTGAGGCTCAGCAATGAATAGTACATTTCTTTTGTTTTATTCCCCCAAGCCTCGGAGCCACGTATGAATAAAAAAAAAATTGAAAAAATTAAAAATGAAAATGGTCTATTTTCTGTGTTTTTATAATTTCTTCTTTAACTTCTGCAACTGCTGAGATGAAATTAAGACATCGTAACCTTATCTTTTACGAATATTGAATAAAATGGCTTAAACTCAATATTATAATTACCCTCACATCCTAAAAAATAGATAGCTAAGGGCGTTAGCCGGGCGAAAGTTATCCGCTGTCGACATGATAAGGAAACAGCTGCAGCATGTTGTTCCTCACCTCTTAAATTGTCATCACCAAATTGCAGTGTTTCCTCAGCAGCTGATGTGGCTTCACCTTCTTTCGAAGCTGTGATTGGACTTCTCGCCATGCTTGAAGACTGACGAATTGCTGATGAAGGTTTTCCCTGCCAATAGATTCAGATAGATTCGTTGTCCGGTGATATTTATCTGTCGTCGAAAGAAAAATTGAGATTGTTGTTTATTGTTTTGAAATCGGCCTCAGTTATTTTATTGTACGAAGTTGTGTTCCAGAAGTTGTGACAACTCAGGGTAACATCATGGATAACGTAACTTGGAAAGGGCTGAGGTCTTTTTCCAGGGACATCCAACGACGGTTTCCTCCTTTATAAATTGAAAACTCCTCTTAGGCTATCCCGAGTACTTTTAGCTCTCTAGAAAGGCATTCTAAGCGGCGCAATAAAATTCGTATCTGTTCGGTCATCCTAGGGGAAGTTGAGTCTTTTCGAAATTACGAGGGCTTCAGAATTATTTTCCCGAAAATTTTAGATGTAATTTTTTATTATTATTATTATTACTGAACATATACATGGAGCCTGATCAGAAAATTCGAAAGGACGAAATAACGTTTTTGCAGCTAAAAGTAAAAGAGCTATAGCTAAAATGTGAAGATACCTTATCCTTGTTATCTCAGTTTTGAAGCAGCAAACAGAGTAGCGTGGCGACTGGAGAAAGATTCAAATTGCATATTAAATGATGACAGCTGAGTTTTTCCCACTTTTTTTCTGACGGAATAACAGCAACTTATACGCCGCACTGGCTGGTAAGGCCTTCGAAGCATGCTATCACCGAGAACTCTTCTCTGTCACGCTTCCAAAAGTTCTTTTAATTTACACTCTTCTCTCTGACTATATCATTCTTTAGTGAACTATTTTCATTTTTTTTCTCCTAATTCTTTTTTCTTCTCTTTGCGTTTCTACCTTAAACTCAAGATCTTTTCTGCATCTTTTTAACCAAAAAGTGAAATGTCCGCTACTGAAAGCAAGACCTATCTGTCCTTACTCGGTTAAGAGTTTTGGTGGTGTCAGCGATGAAACAAAACGAACTGATTGGATATGCAATGTGACAAGCGGAAACCAGTTTTTAATAACCATGCATCAAACCGAGTAACGCAAAGGGCAAATTTCACCCATGTTTACACATGAAAGACACTGAGTTTATTCAAACCCTGACCTAGTGACGCGTTGACATGGCATTGACTACCGTAACGACACTACCGTTGTGACACTATATGACACTGAAACTAGTGATGTGTTGATCTGGTTCCCCCAATAGCTCCCAATATCTAGAACAACCGTCGCAGATGCCTGATTTCTTCATGATGATAATTGAACAGCTCCTTTTTCGCATTTCATAACGAGGGACATGTCATAGCAAAGTTATTAGTCAGTGCTAGAGAAGAACATGTTCAACTGGGTTTATGCTTGACTTAAAATATCACAAGCCTCTCGCCTAAACTTTATAGCAGATAGTTTGTTGTTTGTGCGATCTCCTGGGCTGCAATCTCCTACTCCGCTAATGTATGCTTAACGACTACTACTGACGACAACGTAAATCGTTCGCTTCTGTATTAGTTTCTTTAAAAGTCTGTAATAATCTTACCTCGGTTGATTTCTAAGGCATCAAACGGAACGGGGACACTTCTACTGAAGTCAAGTCACTGACATATGTGATGATATGTTTCTTGGTTTGCCCTTTACAGCTCCATGACTAGGTTTGCGATAAACTTATTTGTAATTTCTACAGTAGTATTTTTTGAAACGCTTCTCAACTTGAGTCTTTACCAGAATCGGCAATGCTTGTTTTCAGATGATCCAAATATATGTAAAAGCAATGAAGCAATTCGAATCCTCTCGAAACAGGAAGCCAAATAATTAGGGGGTTTCACCTTCAGTTTCCGAGAAATTGGCACCAGTCTTACGCACCCTTGTGGGGGGAGGGGGGGGGGGCAGAGAGGGCCTAAGAACGAGGTTGCAAGGTGGTGTTTCGACAATCTGCTCAAAAAGAGAATAATCATTATTTCGAATACAGATTTCATAATCTAATCGGAGAACCTGAGTGGCGGATAGTGGGATTAGAAAAGTGTTACGGCCCAAACTATACGCCTGGCGCAAGGTACAGAAACATAGGAACAGCTTGTGTTTAACCAAGATTGAAGGATTTTTTCGACCTAACTGAAACTTCAGCCTGCACATTCACCATTTTTACACAGACTATAATGACCCAATTTCTCCTGGGTATCACAGTCGTCCCAAGGGAAATCGAAGACAATGGTTATGCAAAATTTTGAAGGTTAAGAAAGTGCATTATGGTCCATGTGAAAATGGTAAATTTCCACGTTTTTTAATTATTCTGTTCGTTATTCTTGTTGTCCATATCAATAAATTTAAGAAATAAGTATGTGTAATCAAATGACGACGAGAGAAATTAACGAATATTTTCACGGGCGTTTCGTCCAAATTCTAAAGGCTCTAAAAATTATTAGCATTTGGACCATCCTCGGAGTCCCATGGGCGGTGAGTTGCGTCAGAAAAAACGGCGGCTAAAGTTTTCAAGAACGGGCAGGAGAGCCCCTGGGATGCTTTTCTTAAATAACCAGTTCCACATTCGATTGCGTGTTTGTGATTGAGCAAAAAAAATTATTTCGTGCCGAATAAGAGAGGCCACCAAAACTTTCGCCGCCGTTTTTCCTGACCCAGGGGCGGATCTAGGGGGAGGGTGCAGGGGGTGCGCACCCCCCCCCCCTGAGATGACCTGCGGTTTTCAACTGGTATTCTGCCAAAAAAAAATACGTGGTTTATTGGTGTTGAAGTAGAGCAAGAGACGAGTGCACCCCCTCCTAAAAAAAATCCTGGATCCGCCCCTGTGACCCAACTCACCGCTCCTGGATATCTGCGAGGGTGGATTTGGACAAGATTCCCTAATTTCACGAGTATACCATTTGATTACCTATTAATATCATATGCGACAAATTGCGCTCACAATCATGGGTTTTGACATGTTTATCATATATCGATTATCGATCGAGAACTCCACGCATTGAAAAGTTTAGAGCTCGAATTTTCGCCTAAGTTCAGAACTTTCATAATTTTTTGACAAAATACCTGATAGAATCGTTCTTGATGTGCTCTTTCGTGTGTTTAGGTATTCTTAATCATCTTTTAATGCCCTTACATCTTCATTCACAACGTTTTTAAACCTTGCGGCCATCTTGGCACTAAGACGTACGAAACGTTGTTATGGCAAATTTGTAATTTCACAAATGAAATTATAAATTAACGCTGAGATTTCGCGCCAAAATTAAGAAAGAAATTGTCACCCATTATATTACGATAATAAATTATACTGATAAATGCAGAGAAGATCATCACGCAATATATCAAACATGAGACGCAGTGTTCCATCACCAGATGAAACACTGAGAAGAAAGTCTAGTAACCACAAGGTCATAGTATCAACTCATGTTTGGAGTACTCAGATTTT